ATTTAAAGCGAGTTTTTGTTAAAATTAAAATTAAAATAAAGCTATGTAAACACTTGCATTTTTACAACACTACAAGTGTGTCCCATCAGGTAATGAAAAGTTCGACACACACTTGTGGTCTTCATGCTCACTTGAACACTTGGGCCAAATACAGGAAATACGTCATATAAGTAGTCAAGTGGTCAAGTGCAAAGACCGCAAGTGTGGGTATTTGGATAAGGGGTTGGTATTAGTTTAAGTGCACTTAGACTGTAAGGGCTTATAGGGAATTTCCTAACCTCTGTTTATTGTAAATTACTCTAGCTAAGTGTGCATGGGAAACCATGGCATGACCATACCAAAGCTACTATCAGGGAAAGTAATGTTGGTCGGCTTATATCTATGTTGCTTTACTCAAGTGCATACAGATCTATGGGAACTAAATAAAAGTACTTTTAGAATGAGCAAGCATAGGAGCGGCCATCTAAAGTATTAGTCAATTACCTCTAATAACCAAGACTGTTGAGTATGTGCCCGTAAGGTGCGCTAACGGCCGAAGCGATATCTTTGAGCGACATGAGAACCCGAATGAACGAGTACAATAATATTGAAGAGTACACTCTAAAAAATGCTGGGTTAAATACAACCCAGTGCAAACCCAGCAATTGGGTTCTTTTGACCCAGCGGTTGGGTTACTACCCAGAAGGTTGGGTTAAACATTTAACCCAACCGCTGGGTCAAAACAGCCCAATTGCTGGGTTTGTCCCTATTTTACCCAGCACTGGGTTGTATTTAACCCAGCATTTTTTAGCTTCAAAGTAAATAGAATAAGCACGTCTACATAAATTATCCTATGGATGATCAATCAATAATAATTGTCATTCTAACCTAGAATCGAGGTCATAATAAAACAGAGTCAGATTAGAATTTAACTTAAATTAAATAACTTTGCGCACTGAAAAGACCGAACATGCAGGAAGCCTTCAGCCGTCCCACTGGCTGCCGTCGTTGGACCAGCGCTTACAGTTTACAGTACTTTACATGAGTATTCGTTTTTCGGGAAACTTATGACTTTAACTTCACTCCATAAAAAATTGAAAATGGTACTTTTCACTCCACTACATTTCAATCAAGATCGTCAAAGCAGAAAGTCGTTACAATGTAGCAGCTTTGTACGGAGCCCCACACATGACATGCAAGAAAAAATACAAAATAAATCATGCGCATGATTTACTAATTCGTTCCCTCGATGTACTAAAACGTGTACACGATTACTATTTCATTCCCTCGATTTTCTAAATCGTGCGCACAATTTATAAATCAAAGGAAACGAAATAGTAAATCGTGCACACGATTTAGCCTAGGGGCCTACTATTTTTTTCCTGCATGCCATGTGCGGGGCTCCGTAGCTTTGAAAGTCAGTGGGTGATTTATTTATTTATTTTTAGACAGCCTAAAAATCAGTAAGAACTCTTGTAGGGTTACGTGAAGTGATTTCCCAGCATTTTATTAACACTGACCAGTTGCAAATGTGATATTTATTTACAAGAATTCAATAATAAGAAGTGAATATTGTGGTGTGTATGCATTAGACAGATTTTCCGAAGGCATCGCGATTCTCTCTTGAATCGATTCTGAGTTTAGTTTTTAACAGCAGATGGCACTGCGTGCTTTAGAAATAGCCATATTATGCTTGCTTCCAGTTCCTTACACACACACCACTTGAACCTAAAATAATCATTCATAAAGTTCGAAAAGGTTGAAGCGAATTACAAGGATGTTCACATTAGGCTGTGTTTACGTTAATCTCTCATCATAAAGCATAAAAGCCGATGTGCAAGTAAATTTAACCACTTACATTACTCCGCCAAACGCACAAGCGCCCTTCTTCGTGAGCATCTTGAGTGTGAAGTTAAAAACTAACCTAGAGCACCATCTGCTGTTAAAAACTAAGCTCAGAATCGATTCGAGAGAGAATCACGATGCATTCTGAAAATCTCAGAATCGATCCAGGAATCGCGATGCATCGATTTATTGCGCCAGCCCTACTATTAGCCAATCATATCAGTGGGTGTTTACTTCCGAGTCTACAATCCGCCACACCTATTCAAACAGGGCTGTGTTTCCCAAAAGCATCGTAAGCTTAAGTACATCGTAGACCCAATGGAGCTACAATTAACTTAACTAGGCTTACAATGCTTTTGGGAAACACAATGCATTGTAAGATCCAAGAGCAAATAAAACTGTTATTGTTACAATTAATGAAAATAAATTAAATTGCATTGTTACCATTGTTGTGAGTTACGTGCTGAATGTTTTAAGCCTGTGTGTGACTTAAGGTGAATAAGGATTATAAAAACCCAATTAAAATCATCTCAAGGTATTTATGAAAAATTATATTTGAAGAAGTTCATTAATAAACACATACAAAAAATACACTAATACTTTAAATAGAAGATAGGTCATCTTCTAAAATCAACTTATTCGTTATTTGTCTTCCTTTGAAATCAATTAAATCTGACTTCATGATGCATTAGCAGGTTTTCCTTCGTCCGCGCCGTTCTCAAGCCCGTGCCTCTGCTCACTCTAACCCTCCGGCTGTTCCTCACTTTATCCCCCGGCCTCTGCTCACCGTAGGCCGCTGTGTGTTACGCTGATTCATTGTGAAAGCGAAACTACTTTGTTTGGCCTTCCAAAAATGGACACGACTAGAAATCAGCGGTTAAGTTGTATTTACAACACTGTTCCAGAACACTTCAACCCAAATATTCAGATGTGTGCAGCACATTTTATGGAGGACTGTAAACTGATTCGGGCCGACTAGCAAAACAAACTTGTAGCCAATCAGCAGTAAGGGGCGTGTCTACTCATGATGTGGAGGAGAAAGCGTTCAGTTCGAGCCGAGCGACAGAAAGATAGATAGAGATGGCGGATAAAAAACAAAAGAGGAAAACATCTGCGGAACAAACGAAGTCTTAAGGCAAGAAGTAGGACCTGCGTAAATATCGGATCAGCTTTCCAGCGCTGGAGAGCCTTCAAACTGGAATCATGGAGGAATATCCGGTAATGTCCACTTCGCAGGGCACTTGCAGTCAAATATAACAAACGTCTGAAGCAATAAGAGAAACATACAAAATGTGCAGAGCGGGGGTACGCAAGGACTGGAATTGAGAGCTGAGTTAGTACACTGGACGCGACAAAGCGACCGTTGAAATTCATTTGAAATTTGTGTCAATACATCATGAATAGAACGCAGAATGTGCAGCAGTTTTCTGTCTGGGATTTGTCGTGTTGCGCAGCACCGCGCCACATCCAATGTAGACAGCATCACTGATTATAATGAGTTCTATAGTATTTTGTCGCGCCGCACCGCTCACGTCCGGTGTAGACACGGTGTAACATCGGTTTTGCTTTGTTTCACAGAACTAATCGTTGCCTGGGTTGCGTACGTATGTGTGGGGCGGAGCAATCAAAATAGAGGCGAGACCCTTTTGGGGTAGGGGCGTTTTTGTTTTGGTGATTTCAAATGTCAACATTGGCTACCAGAAATAGCTTACCCTGCCTTTAAGACTCTTTTTCTTTTCTTCTTCTTCTGCTGTTTTGTTGCACATTAGCAACATATTAGTGCAGTGCTGCCTCTCACTGCTTTGTTAATGTCATTGGTTCCTTTGTGGCTACTTGAATATTTTAAGTAAGTGTCACTCAAAACAGTAAGTAAATTGTTTTATTTGCCTTGAAAGTAGCTGTAACTTAATAAAACCTAGTAAGTATAACAACTAAGTAAAGATAACTAATTAAATCTAAGTAAGGTAAACTATTGGATTTTACAGTGTAGTCTCATGTGCATTAGATTCAACATGTTGAATAAGAGGCAGGTTGTGATAATAACCTGAAACACATTTAATACATAATATATGTTTTTGACTATGTTTAAGCCACTGTTATATTGTTAGATAATGCATTTGCCAAATCTCTTTGTTCAGGAGGCACCAGACAGATCTAAACAAGCTCCACTCAATACCCTGCATAGGGGATTTAACAGAATGATGTTTTTTTTTTTTTTTTTTTTTTTTTACTGTACTCATCTTAAATGCACACTATCAGGGTTAACATTAATCTTCCTTGTTTTTATCACAGGTTTGAGGACCCGCTCTGTGTAATAAACAATGACAAATTATGAAAGTTCAGTTCACGGTGAAAACAAAATGAAATCAAACGCAACTTACAAAAAGTTGCTTTGACATGTTTTTGGACATTTACCATGATAGTACTGTGATATTTTTGGAAGTACCTTGGATTACTATGTTAACATGGTGCATGCATTTCTCTGTTTTTTTGCAAGTGAGGCTACGTACAACCATTAAAGTAAAAATACAATGGTTTATTAATATTAATATTAATGAGTTTAATAATCAATATCCACTCACCCATAACAACCAAGGTGAATTTTTGGTCCTGCTCTTTACATACTGTTGATGTCAATGGAATAAAGTTATTTTAAAAGGGAACTTGTCCAGAAGATGGCAGTATTGTATGAAAATTAAATTGTCATGCAGTTGTTTATATGTTAAAAAACCACAAGGTCACTGGTATATAAACGGCAAGGTTTTTATTATACTTATAAGGCTATTTGTTTACTGTTTTGTTCATTTATTTTGCCTTAAAGAATGTCCAGAAAATGTCAAATCGATAGCAATACACAGACTCACACAGAAAGTGTGATGTATCAGACCAGAATATGAAATAAACACATTGGGCTAAATACTGTACTTTTTCAAAATGACAGATGGTTTTGCACCAAAATATACTGTGGAGTTTGACACGCGGCCATTGATGTTTTTTCCCACAATTCAAACAGATCTGAAACTTCTTTTTAGGTCGTGAGCCACCAGTTGAGAAACACTGTCCTAGATTGATCCAGTATAAGATTACATATGCATCACACTCAGAGCAAGCCTTTCTGTATGATTTTTCTATCTGCCTAAATCATGTAAAATCATTTTTAAATCAGTGCTTGCCAGCTTTCTAGTCCGCAGGATTGAGATAAAAATAGCTGGCCAAGTTCACAAAATATCAGATCCATCCTAAATGTGTTAAAACACCTGCATGACAGTGCAGCACATTAGATGGCATCCTTCCACACCTGTGCTGCACTGTGTCAAAATGCCTCCGTCTGCACAACTGACATCTTTAATTCTTTGCTCTGTCTGCGTAACCGCCAACTCTGATCGCGAACAGGAAATTCTTTCTGTTTCCTCCAGTTGATTGTGAAAAGGTTCTGGAACATTTGCTGTTTTCAGAAGAGCAATGAGCTGCCAATACATTCTCTTATTTTTATTCCTCTGCGGCTTTGCTGCGCTCACTGGTAAGTTGTGATTACATTTTGTATATATGTGTTAGTAGACTAAAGTGTATTGGCTCTTTTTTCCCTTAATTTTAGGGATGTTACTGTTGACCTTATTATATTTTGTTGTTGAGATCCAACATTACGATGTGATTAACATATTAAGGATAGTAATCCACATTATCCTTTGGTCTCATGCATATTGTGCTATTTAATATCAAAACAATGACTATAAATTATGTGAGAATAATCACTGTAAATCATGTTTTTTCAGTTAACTTGAAAAAAGTACTTTATATAGGAACATCTAAATTCACTTGTCATTCAAGAATCAGATCAGGTAGAAATATCTCCTAAAGGCAACACATGCCCTTGGACACTGTACTGTACTGATATAGTCATTTTTGGCCATTTTTAAATGCAAATCTAGTTACATGCAAACCGCTGCAATGAGAGTTTGTTTGCATCTACATTTAACAGAAACACTTACAGAAAGTGGAATATATAGATAAGTATTAAAGTTCTAGCAGAGACCTGCAGGCCTGTTACGAGTTCTTCAAAATAAAAAGGTTCTTTATAGTTATAAAATGCTTCTTTAGATCATTTAAAAAATGTGAAACTAAGGAAAAAAGAGGTACTTTTAAGAACTTTTGACTGAAAGGTTCTTTGAAGACCTAAAAATGGTCTATTGCACATTGAAACTTTTTTATTTTTTTAGTTGAAACCTTTATTTTTGTCTCATGGAGAGGTTGGCACAGAGTAACTAAATTATTAAAGAGTAACTAAGATTTCAGTTGCTAAAAGGTTTTGAGTCAAAAGACTTATTTAACAAACGCTCATTTTATTAGGCACCGATTTGTTGGTTTCAAACATCATGTACAAAAACTTTCTTAAAATGGAACAATTTTTATTACATTCCAGTATCATCTTATTATTTTTGTAATATCTGTTGAATAAATAGGTGAACGCAATAGAGAAGACTAACAGAAGACACGAGTCACTATATAACAAAGGCAGATTTGAACTGAATCATTGTACTCTATTCTAAGGACAGGGCCTTTTTTCATATAAATGTCAAATCAGGGCATAGATTTTGTAATTTTACATTGTTTAGTTTTATTTTTATACTTATTTTAATTTCTTTTGGCCAGCTTGGTTTGAGTTTTGCCGTTTCCTGAATTGCTGTTTCATAATAGTTTTACTGTTTAGATTCTAATGAAAAGACTGTAATATGCTCTCTAAAGCAGGTCCACATTTGTGACAACTTACCCCATTCAGTTTGATAACATGCCCTATTGTTATAGGAGTCAGTGTGTGTTAAATGAACCCTAACATTTTTTTTTTTAAATGGACAATAATGGCAGAATAGGATTTTGAACTGAGATTTGTCTAAGGTTAGTGTCCCTTGACTTTAAAAAAGAAACCCATTCTGAGAAACACATATGAGTGCATGAATCCTGTTGAGTTTTATTAAATGCTAATATCATTTTATTTGTTATAGTTGCAGAGATATGTAAAACAGAACTACTAGAGGGAACGTCCTGCACCCTAAAGCTGCCAACAACAAACACTGACAAATCTAATGAGATCAAATGGGCCCATACCACCAGTAACGCTGTAATTGTGAGGAAAAATAATAAGAACAAATCAAACACTCCAGGTCTAACAATTGAAGATGATGGAACATTAACATTCAAAAGTGTTAGTCTGAACAACACCGGCAAATATACATACACTGTTTTTAATGCTGACGGTACACAGATTGGTGCTGGAGATAAGGAAATTAACGTTTATGGTAAGAGGACAAATATTCATACCCTTCCACCATAATAACAAAATAAGAGTGTATATTTCTACAGTAATTCCAGTAGAAGTTAACCACCATGTTTCTGTCACAGCAAAGGCTCCTAAACCTACTGTGAAGATCGACTGCAAACATGGTGACGCTACACTCACCTGTGACATTAGAGACCGTACAGATCTGACTGTATCCTGGTATAAAGAAGACAATATCATCCAGACTGAAAAAAACACAAAACTGCTCTTGACATCTGCTCAAGTACAAGAGAATAAACTGTACACATGCAATGTAAGCAATCCTGTCAGCAGTAGGGAAAGTGACAGCGTTACAGTATCATGTAAGTCTTTTTATTTTCACCAAGTTCTCATGTTATTTCACATGCTTTGCATTAATTATTATTATATATTTTTAAATGCTTGTGTTTTTTCTGTCTTAAAGACAACATTTAAATCATGATTTTTCAGGGTTTTGAACAGATCTGACCTTAAATACTGATGTTAAAAATTAAGAGGTCCTGCTCTAGCAGAATTAATGGTCTATCCAATGATTGTATGACTTTGAATGATTTTACATTTGTTTCATGAAATACGCACTTGTTTTTTGTCTGGTCGTTTCCTGTTTTTACCGTTGACTTACAATCACGAAACAATGACCAAAAAAACGACAGTATTTTCTAACACGTTGATACAGAATGGTGTTAAACTGTGTACTAACCGAAGATATCTCAACGTATTTTAGCAGTCAAACAGTTTGTAGACACTTATTCA